GACCATGGGCAACAGATGTAGCCCCCCCCCCCAGAAGGAAGGACAGTGTCAGCACCAATTCAGAGATGATTGGAGGATCTACAACCGAGTGATACACAAATAAGATACATTGTTGCTAATGGTTGGGGTGCTTGAATGTATTTTTAAGATTTCTCTCCTGAGCTTTGTGTCACTTTAAGAGTACAAATCATGAAACAGTTTTGCTGACTAACCTGAGTGTAGAAAATGTGTCGAATGATGAAATGTGTACATCCTCTTACACAGTCTTTTCTCTCTCTTGTGTCCAGAGCTCAGTACTGGTTCGTGGCTGTGCCATATGCTGCTTTGATCTTTATTTATGATGAAATCCGCAAATTGTTCATCAGGCGCTATCCTGGCAGTAAGTATCCAGTGAGAACTGTACCCCATGGGCAGGTCTACACTTCAATAATATACCAGCATGTTATGAAACGGATGATTTAACCTGTGAACAAAGTAAAGTTATTCTGTGTTTAGCTGTATACTGCAAAGGTCACCCAACAGGAAAAGTTATTGAAACACGTCATGTTGCAAGATGATGGTTTTATCTTTCTAACTCGGGGAACGCATTACAACACCTTTCATTTTTTTGTAATGCAGAAATATTTTTTTATCATTTCTTGCTGTCACTCTTTTCCCTAAAGACAGATCTGATTCTGAAACTTACTGGAAAGTATAAAATCACTTTTCTCACTGAAGTGCATATATAAGACATTGCTGGATTTGTCTCACATTAGGGAATTTTCAAATGTTCATGACATAAAATGCAGATTTTCCTGAACTGCCCAATAGAACGTGATTGGTTCTTTTATGTCTAGTATGCATACTGCCTCCACCTCATTGGCTGGAATGTTTCCAGTCTGGGGGGAGGGGCTGTGTCTTATATGCACTGGCGGAACTACCAGGGTCACAGCGGTCGCAATTGCGACCGGGCCCTGGCGTTCGGCCACTTGGGGGTGGCTCAACGAGGAAGAAGAGGGCCCCCCCTCCAGAGAGTTGCCGCTACATCCCTGCACAGCCACCCGTAGCATGTACGGGCAGCTGTGCGGCAGGGATGCATTGCCGCCCGCACGAGACCGGCACAGTTCCTTGCGGCCTCGGGTCACCTGGTTCCGGGCGCAGCATGAAGCATCATTCAGCCGGGCAGCAGCCAATGAGTGGGAGCGGCTTAATCCCCACCCCCCCCGTCACACAGAACTGCTGCCCAGTGCCGACTAGAGCTGCCGTGGACACGAAGGGGGAGACAGGGAGCTGGAAGTATGAAGGTGACATGGGATCCGGGAGCGGAAAGCTGGGGACTAAGCCACGCTGATATGTATTAATTGCTCCCCTCTCTTCTCTTCTCCAGGCTGGTGGGACAAGAATATGTATTATTAAGGTTCGTTGGACCGTGTTGTACCTTCCCTGGTGGTGTGGACACAAAGCAATATTTCATTGCTGGAATATAAATATCCTGTTTGTTGAACAAATTGGGATGATTACCTATTGTAACTGCTATGTATAAAAAAATGAAAGAAAGAAAAACATGTAAAAAGACGTGAATTTGTCACTCACAATACTGTAAATGTAGATTTTGTGTACAGCTAATTTTCTAAACATAATGTGAATAAAATATTTTTCATAATTGTAGAGTTATATTATTATTATTATCATCCTATGACTGCGCTTCATCCATAGAAGGCGGCAGCATGTGAGACTTTAGTTTGTGCGCTGCAACTGGAAATCTTGTATTGCAGCCCCAGGGCCATGTTTACATACTTGCACATAAAGATGACTGTAACACATAATGGAGAGTAGAATGTTCAGGCTCAACAAGAAAAGAGAGATTCTTTAGTGTGGGCCATAAACTATGTACACGAGGTTATCACACACATTTGTGATTGTTGAAGTAGAGACGGTGCTGCTGTCACTATTCGTGGAGGGCAGTAGCTATTGGTGCAGCCCCCATCTTTCCACAGTGAAACATTCCTTACACACCATCCACTGGATGCACTTTCCTACCAGGTCACCTGCGTGTCTGTAAAGTTAATAGAAAGAAATATGCAGAATGACATACCCGCTGCCATGCTGATGTCGCACTCTTGCTGGGAGGCGCCTCCGTTATTATTCTCCACGTATAAGGAGTTCCTCTGCATGACAAAGGCAAAACCCGTCTGTCAGGGATCAGGGCTTTTAAGGGGGAAATAAATAAATAAATTGTCACTAAATGTGTACAGCCAGCTACAAGTGGTGATATAAATGCTGCCCAACTACACACACGGACGGACACACACACAATTACAACTGTGATATTGGGGAGCTCACAGAGCACTCGCACAGCGGGGTTTTTCAAAACACAGAGTCTTTATTTTCTTTCAAAACGGTAGATAATCACGAAATCCAACATAAATAGCTTGCTGTAGCATATAACAGATATGGGCTCACCAATCCTCGAGTTGTCCCATACACTCACGGTGTCCCAGTCTTTTAATAAGTCTCTCTTGCAGCACTGCTGCTCCGGCCCCAATCTTCGGGGCCACTGTCTGGTTCCTCCAGACAACGGCAATAACATGCCAATCCTCCCACTATGGTTCACGAACCCGCAACTCCCTGCTGCACTGGCCTCCACACTGACTCCGGGGTGGAGCTCTCCTGACTCACAGGTGGGGCCCTGAACACATCCCAGCACCCTCTTCATGAGGGATGTGCACAATTAGGTGCCGGTCACTACCAAAGCATGGACCCAGAACTGGAGATTTCCTCCCACACAGAGCTCTAAGAAATCTCCTGGCTCCAGGATCCCAACTAGGATCCAGAAAACCTGGAAAGGACTGAAAAGGCAGTTATTTCCTGGTACCAGTAATGTCTTCCTGGAGCCACTCAGCCCCTCTGGCTGAGAACCCTGGGTGACTTTGAGGCCACCTAACACCGTGGCAATGCCACACAACATAGAGAAAATCACTGTGATTTGTATTACGTTACTCTGTGTCCGCAGTGGACATTTGTCTTAGCACCAAACAGCATTAGGGGCCTGTCACTCAATGGGCCCTCCCCTCCTCCCACTCAGAAATGAGCCTGATGAAGGGGACTTTGCGTGGCCCCAAAAGCACTTGTCATTTGAGTGACATCAATAAAATGGATTTGCACTGAAATGGAATTCTCATGCTGGTGACATCTCTATTCAAGTTTTACTGTGAGCGTCACCAGCCGCAGTCTTTACGAGCACCCGTTACCCATAAGGAGTGGTGCAAGACATATGGACACAACCATGACGCATAGACATACACACCAACCCCCCCCTCCCCAGTCCAGAGGCTATGGATTAGTCCATAAAAGAAACAAATACAGTGAAAATTGTGGTGCCCCCCTACACTGGTAGTTCGTGGGAGAGGGGTCCCCCTACAATAGTGGTCGGTAGGAGAGGTGCCCCCTCTCATTGGTGGTCAATAGGTAAGGTGGCTCTTTACATTGGTGCTCAGTGGGAGAGATGCTTCCTCACATTGGTGCTCAGTGGGAAGATGCTTCCTCACATTGGTGCTCAGTGGGAAGATGCTTCCTCACATTGGTGCTCAGTGGGAAGATGCTTCCTCACATTGGTGCTCAGTGGGAAGATGCTTCCTCACATTGGTGCTCAGTGGGAAGATGCTTCCTCACATTGGTGCTCAGTGGAGGAGGTCCCCCCCTACATCAGTGGTAGAAGGGACCTATTACAGGTTACAAAAAAAAGATCATTGGTATCAGTGGTTTCTAACCTGAAAGATGAGAGGAGAAGCTCCACTGGTCCCATGCCGCTTGCTGTTCTGATAGCTGTGCCTGTATAGTTCTAGGACTGACATCTAAGTGGGAGGTCAGTTCACCACGGCACAACGGCCAAGGAACCTCTAGTTGGGAAACGCTTCTTCTACAAAAATAAGACAACGAGATACATTTCACCATAGTGCAGCTGAGAAAAAGCTCCTAAGAATAAACTGTGTGGTGTGTGCATGGAAGAAGAGTGGCGAAGCCTTTAGTGCTTCAGGTATTAGAGACAAGCAGACATTTTTAGTTTTCTGGTCCTCCACCATGTATTATTCATGTACAGAGGAACCTGGATGCACTGTCACTGGTGTGGTGTTAGAGAAGACCTTTCTGCAGCATTCTGCTACTTATGGTAATGCTGAAAGGGCAGCTCTGTCAGAACACAGGGTTACTTGAAGGCGATGAGGAATTTCTGTGTGTGGCACGTTTCTCAGAACAGAATGTTGGTGGTCTTGCCTATATAGAAGTTTTTACACAGTGATTTAATAAGATTAACATTCCTATGTTGGGGCCGAGGTGGCACCTGAATACCTGTCATGTAAGTCTGATTCTCCCGGCTCCCCATTCTCTCTCATTAGATGTTGTACTTGGTTTTACTTTTGGGGGTCACAGCAAAGCACTTGGAAACATGAACAAACCTGTAGGAGGTTCAACACGTTTTCCCACCCACTAGAGGCTGCCAAAAGGAAACTACGGATACAAGACCTGCACAGCAGAGAGGCAACATTTCACCCTGGATTACTGCACAGATCTGGAAGAAATACACAAAGATCACCAAAGAAGAACACACATACAGTGGCGTCACAAGGGGGTGCAGCCAGTCATTGATCGAGAGCCCCAGAGTGTTAGGAGAGAGGAGGGGACGGGGCGGCATACCTCATCCCGCCGGGTGAACGTCCCCTCCTCTCTCTGCCGGCGTCCATCACCAAGATAGCAGGTGTCAATAAGATGACCGCGCATGCGAGATGACGTCACGGCGGGGTGTCACCCCGTCTCTGCTCCTGGTGACACCCGGCCTCGGGACGCCCCTGCCCACATGGCTCTTATATTTAGAGAATATTTGCTTATCGCGGAGTTCAGATTTAAAGGATATTGTATGAACCACAAATCACAAATATGTATTAAAGTGAACCTAGCCTGACCTAGAAAGTAACGAGTATCCGTGTGGAACCCCTTGGATCCTAGATTTTATTTTATGGTATAAGATCTAGGGCCATCATCCTTATCCTCGGCTCACTACCTGGCAATCTGCTGACCCGCAAGAAGCAACTGAAATCTGAAATTCCCAACCTACATATTTACTCACTAATTTATAAAGAGGGGTATGGCCGTATTCCTGATCCTGTGATCTGCCACTCCTCCAATCAAAGAGATCTTTCTGCAGAATTAAGCAAAGAGACTTCTGTGACACACGGCGTGATCCAATGGGGCATCAAATGTAGTATGGAGTAACTTTGTGGTATCCACTCTCCTCTATAAATCCCCCCCCTAAGTAATGAAGGGGTGATAAGCACACAAGCCTTGAGCCTGGGACCTTCCTGCGTCTGTTTTTGTAGTATGTTCCAGTCATTCCCTGCACCACACCACACCACACAACTGGGCATAGATGACAATGCTGCAAATGGGCCCTGATGGTAGAATCTTTCATTTCTTTAACAATGCAACGTATTATTTATTGAGCAGCGTCCATTACTTATACCACTTTTGGAGAAGAGCAATGCATTTCTTTCCCTCAGCAGGAGATGTGAAGGTCAGAACCCAGAAGAATGCTTGATCTTTAACTGAAAGTCTTCACTTCTCTGACAGAGGTGTGGAAATTCTCAGTCTACGCCCAGGATGTTCACCTCTGGCTGTTCAGACAACTCAGAATGTGCTGGTACCAGCAACATGACTGAGCGTAATTATTTATATCATGTAGCATTTAAAGCTGAACTCCGGGCACAAAAACCTTCATTTAAATATATTCTGCAATAGCCAGAGTGGGCAGAAATCCACTTTGTGTGCACCACATGCCTTTCTAAAACCAGTTATTACCATACTAGAGTAGCAGCGGCATCATCATAGCCTGTACATGTACATAGCCTGTGCAGAGACCCAGCAGACCCCACCCACTACAAGATGCCTGCAGGAAACTTCAGGGGGAAGAGGGTGGACACAAGACCAGTCACTCTGCACAAGGAGAGAGAGCAGTACTGACCGGTCTTTATTACAGGAGGGGGCAGAGAGAAGACCAGTCACACTGCACAAGGAGAGGGAGCAGTGAGCAGTCTTTATTACAGGAGGGGGCGGAGAGAAGACCAGTCACACTGCACAGGGAGAGAGAAGCAGTGAGCGGTCTTTATTACAGGAGGGGGAGGAGGCAAGACCAGTCACCCTGTACAAGGAGAGAGAGCAGCAGTGACCGGTCTTTATTATAGAAGGGGGCGGAGACAAGATCAGTCACCCTGCATAAGGAGCGAGAGCCCCCCCTACCCTCCTCCTTACCCCCCTCCCCCCTTAGATGTGGCAGCTACATCAGTTGATTTAGGCTTTTTCCCTGATGTTCACCTGGTGACCCTTTCAGTAACACACGTCTTGTCCTAGGGTGATGCTCAATCGCTGTATTGTAGCTTTCAACATCCAACGTTACCACCCTAGGACAAGACTGCGGAAACCTCCCCCTTTCCACTTCTCCATTAAATAGTGGGGAAGGGTTCTGTAGTCCTGTGAGATAACTGGGAGCAA